CCAGGGAGAAAAGCACTTGCATATCTGCGGTGTGACCACTGTAAATATTAATACAGGACGGGGCAAAGTGCTGGGGAGATGAGAGGGTGCCTGTGGGACGTTTCACAAAGAAGGTAGCTGGATTTCGACACTCCAGAATGAGTTTTCCAGGAAACATAGAAAAAAAAATATACTTCTCAGAGACTGGTCAAGGGTATAGGTGGCATGTTAGGGGACTAAGAATTCCCTGTAGCTGGGATAAAGTGCCTGGTGCCTCGCATACTGCCAGCATTTATTTGTTCAGCATCAACAAATGCTTATTGATGCTGAAGGACCTTGAAGGCCATGCAGAGGAGAATTGATTTTATTCTGTAACCCAAGATGTGGGATGGAATACTTTTCCTGATGGTACCCAAGATGTGGATTGAGTATTGAATGGTACCAAATAATAAGGTGAGGAAATCTTGTTCTTTTCAGTTCAATTTCTCTCCTTTTGATTTCAGCAAGAAGAAAGTCTGATATAACAAAAATCATGAAGGTGGTAGTGTGAGGATGTCTGAGGTTTGGAGACAGTGGTGAGGAAGGTGGGCACATGGAAGGACTGTAAGCAGAACAACTATGCAGCTCCGTCCCTTAGTGGGAGAATCCTGGTAGCCACAGAGAAGATGGGGAAGGAGATAATGGCATTGGGAGACCCTTGGAGGTGCAGGCAAGAAATTCTGTAGGCATGGACAAGGGGAGTGACCTCGCAGAATCCTCCAAAGAGACAGAACCATTACAGCGTATATACATAAAGAAAGATTTATTTAAGGAATCGGCTCATGCATTATGAAGTCTGACAAGTCCAAAATCTGCAGGGTGAGCTGGCAGGCTGGAAACCCAGAGAAGAGCCAGTGTTACAGTTCAGATCCAAAGGCCATCTGCTAGAGAAGTCCTTCTTGTTCAGGGGAGGTTGGTCTTTCGTTTTATACAGGCCTTCACCTGATTGGATGAGGCCCACCCATGTTTTGAGGGCAATCTGCTTTACTCAAAGTCCACCCATTTAAATAACGCCCTCACGGAAACATCCAGAATAGTGTTTGGCCACAAACCATGGCCCAGCCAAGTTAACACATAAAATTAACCATCACACAGGGGTCTTAGCAATCTTTGCTTTACAAATTTCCCCATCTGTCTGAGCATCCAAGCATCTTGAAGCTAGGACTAGTGTTCATACATACACATCAAAAGGCCCAGGACACTGTAGAATAGGCACTTACAGATATTTATTAAATAAGGAAGGAGGGGAGGTGGGAAGGAGGAAGGAAATAAATGTCTCCATGGCCAGTTTTGCTCTCTTGAGAGCAGGACAGAGCCACCTGAGGAAGGTGCCTGCCCAGGGAATGACCTGTCCAGTACCCACTGCTACATCTGGGAACTGGGTCCTGAGTTTTAGCATCTCAGGAGTTTTCCAGTTCTGGTACATTCACTAGACTTGGATCCAAGCCCAGGTGGACTCGCTCTATAGTTGAGGTCTGCTCCCTCCCTAACACCACTCCCCCAGGTGACCTCCCAGTCTCTGCTTGAGCTTCTAGCTCCAGGAGGGGGTCCATGACACGCTTGTGCATAAAGGCTGAGGACACACTGTAGCAACTTGCTGCCTGGACATCTCACATTTACTGTTGCTGTCCAGATGCAGGACTCAGGGCATGTGGAGTGGTGACCCAGCAAGTTCATGAGGATGCCAGCTCACTGCTATAACTCACGTATTTCTTCCAGCCTGCGTCATTTTGGACTCCTTCTCAGCCTGTGTTTTCATTCGTGTGTTCCATAGAGAGTGGAGAAAGAGAGAAAAACAAGCTTTCATATTAGAGAGAGCTCTGAACTCGCAGTGGTAAGTGGGTTTCTGTCTGTATGGTCACGTTACTAAACCTCTCTGAGACTCAGTTTCTCCAGGTGCTGAGCTCATAGGACTATGTGAATAAACCAGACTTAATGCACACGAGGAGTGATTTGCGAACAGCTAAGTACCGTACAATTGGATTTTTTTTTTCCCATGCTGAAAATCCCCACCCCATGACAATATTGTCTCATCCAATCAGGCTTCATCCTATTAATCTTTCCAGATCAAGCTCATATGTCTTTTCAATTTAATTAAACAAACTGTGTTTGTTTGTGGGCTGTGTGTGTGTGTGCGTGTGTCACTGTGCCAGGCAAAGAAAGGAACTCCTTCAAACCCTAACTGGTGTGATGGGAATAATCATCACCTCTTCCAGGAAGCCTTTCTTGACCACCTCGGCCCACTGAATTCATCATTTTCGGAGACTCTACAGCATATCTGAAGACTGCACTTGTCATATGAATGTACTTGGTCTCCCCAATCCAATTATAAGTGCCTAGAATCAGTCCCATGTAACTTGGCCCTTTATGTATTTACCCACAATCTTTCCTATCACACATGCCTATCAATAAAAATGTGCTGAGAAAATGGTTGATGGATTACCCAAGAACACCCCTTGGCAAATTAATCACAAGGGTCAGACCCTTGCTTCCTGGAACAATATCTTTGTGGAAATCAAGCTGAAGGAGGGCTCTTTATGACAAAGTATATTATTCCTACATGTGTGCCATTCTTTCTGAGAGGAAGCGATTACAGAGATAGCATGAGGCTCCTAATTCCATAAACATGTTGTCAATTGACAGTGGATGTGACAACACAATCCCTATTAATGAATTGGCTTAAATAATTGCATTCTCCATGTGTAGACACTGTTGGCCTAGGTTAAGACGTAACATGACATAACTAGAGAGAAAAAGCTTCCTTCAGGAATAACAGAGCTTGGAATACAACAGTCTCTTCTTTTGCAGAAGAAAAGGTTTACTGAGAATCAGGGTCTTTGAAATTTGTAGCTTCTTTCAGAGAAGCAGGGCCTAGAAGAGTTGAGAGTAAGTAAAAGGTGGTTGTAATCCTCGTAACAAGCAGAATGATTGGGATTATTATGATGTCTGTTCTACCAATGAGGAAACTGAGGTTCGGAGAGGGGAAGGCACTTGCTCAAGGCCCCACAACTGGTTAAAGAAGCCAGTGTGGCTGGAGCAAAGCACAGGAGGAGCCTGGAGAGGTCAGCAGGAACCGAACCACACAGACCTGGTAGAAGTGTTAAGGGACTTTGCTCTCTCTTCTAAGAGGGTTGGGGAGCTTCGAGGGGTTTTAAGTGGAGGAATGATGTGCTCCATGATAATGGGTTTGCATGGCTCACAGACTGGAAGGAGGCAGCAGGCAAATCGATCAAAATTCTGTGGCAGCATCCAGGCATGTCAGAACAGGGCGGTGCTAGGGCTGATCCTGCTAGGACGGGAGACTTGCCCAAGGTCCCACCACCACCAGAGTAAAGCCAGAAGTATCTGCAATCTTTCCATTGACCCAGCCACCTCCTGTGTCATGAAAGGTCTGAGCAGCATTGAACAGGTTCTGGAGGTAAAAGCTGGAAAGATCCTTGGGTGCAGTAGAGGAAAGGGAAGAGAGCCGAGCAAAGAGAAGAATAGCAATGACTTGAGCCAGTCCCCTGGAATGTTTTGAGAGGTCAGTCTAGGTTCA